TAGTGCACTGAAGAAGACGCTGAACATTTTATTCACTCTGAATTAACAGCTAGTGTTTTAGATATCAGGACTAAATTGGTTAGGAGCTAACCAAGAACAATAAAATTCAAAACGATACTGTCAAATAATCAATCAAGTAGTAAGTTACAATACATTGGAAAGTGGTGACGAACAACAAATCAATTTATTTTATTGCATTTCACATAATGGCAATGAATTTGCTTGCGTTTTCATGAGATATCTTGGTTACTGTTTGTTATTAACCTTCATTGTGGAACATTTTCATTGTTTACACACAGAAAGAATTTATCTCGCTGTCTTAGTTTCTGTAATGTAAGGGTGAGATGTCTTTTTTTAATATAAAGTTTCCTCAAGATTTGGGCCATATCCACGAATATTTAACAACATTCTTCTGATTGGAGAGAAGTTAAAGGACAGTATTCAGTTTACTGCTTATCTGGTGTTTATTAGTTAGAACATGTATAAAGCCAGGTATTTTTGACTGTGAGGTAGGCTATTGAAAATTACAGGATGAAATGAAGATAAAAATTTCAAGGAAAACAGTAAGCTAGTGTTAGTGTTTTTCTGTCAAGTTTTATTCCAAAGTACTTCAACTTATTTCACTGTATTTAATCATGTGTTTCAGTAATAGTTTTAGAGATATTTTCTTGCCTAACTTTGATCTTGTACGCTAGTGTGGTGTATTCTACTTATGTCTGTTGACACAAGTAGTGTGTAACGCCAGTCAGAAGTGGTATGGCTGACAGCCGAAAGTTGAGAAGATCGAATTGAAGAGAATGGGAATGTAGAGAGAGAGTGATTGTAATAGCAATGAAAGTATGATGGAGTTCGTTCACTACACTAGTAATATTCTATTCGACTTAGATTTTAGACTTTCGTTGTAAAGATAATTCAGTCTTGAAGTGGTAAGGAAAATATCATACACCTATTCTCATATGTCATCTAAAGTAATATTCTTGTAAAATATTTTAACTGCAAAAGAAGTTGCAGAACACTATCTGTTAAGAATAAACATATTTTGCTCAAATTGACAAGTGTGATACTCAAGATATCTCATGAATTAAGAAACATATCTATGATATTGAATTTTATTAGTGTAAGTAATGACAGTTACCCAAGAAATAGGCATATATGAACCGACAAACCGTAGTTTTTCATTAAACTCACCAATGTTTGTGATATTTTCGAAGTATATTAACAACTGATCATTTTGATCGGTTGGATAAGTGGACAAATAATTAGATGAGTAAGCAGTTGTTGTGTAAAATAAGTTAGAACCCAAACTTATTCTAAAATCTGTAATAGTTATTATAGATTCATTAGTGTTGTTGCTTCCAGTTCCACTGATTTGTATTGTAGATTTCAGATAGGTGGAGTTCAGTGGGAATATATATTTCACATTGATAGTTGTTATTTGACCTGGCTGCAGCGTTACACTAGATGGACTTACTTCAATCATAATCTGAAATGAAATATTCTAAGCTTTAATCTAACAAAACTGGTTGACTATTATTTAAGGTACAGATGTTACTTGAAGTAAAAAAAGACAATTTCAAAATGACAAGTCTTTGTCTGATGTTCTTTATAGAAGTTTTAATGAAACACCGTGTTTAACTACACCTCGGTTGAAATACAGTAGTCCAACTACGAAACTACTATAATTAGACAAATGATGATCTCATGTATGTATAAAGCCTAAATAAATATTATTCGTGTATGTATTCGGAAATGGATATCTATACCCGAATGGAGACAAGCTTGGAATGAACGTTTTTAGTTCATAATACACTGATCACAGATTTACGACCGTTGCATCTGATATCAGATACAAACTTGAAGTATTATGTGATTTTTCTGGTTTGTTCAATATCTCAACCTAGGTTTATGCATAGACATTTAATTTCAAATAATATCAATGTATTTAAGACGAATAAGTGGAAATTACAATCCGAGTCTATTTTCTGACTGTTAAAATTCATCGTTAGAACTCATGGTCTTAACCTTCAACCAATTAATGTGGTTTAGAAGCATGTTTAATCATTCTCAGTGACAGTTTATAGAGAAATGTTATAGTAATTCATCAGTTTTATGTTGAAAAGTATACTTTGATTACTTTGCTCATGTATTGGGTGATCGAGAAGTAATATATGCTTTTTCTACTCAGTTGATATAATTTTGCCAGTTATTATGGCCTTCATTCCTATTTTGCTGTTTAACATGATATACAGTGATTGTTCTATACTTCATGGTCTGTGTTGTCCTCAAATAGTTCAATCAATTTCTGTTAATATAAAACTACCATTCATAAGTTTCATTCATTCGATGATCTTACAAATCGTGTACATCTGTTTGTTATGTAGCATAAATTCCATCTTACATGATCGTAAAATATCACTGGAAACTTCATTATATCACATAGTTTAGTGAAATTGATTTTTTGAAACGTGTATCCTTCGAAAAATTAGTCTAATGCACACTGAGATACAAGTGACTTGTCATTTCGATTAATTGGAATAACCTAAATCAATATTGAAACAGACACATTGTCTCTGTTCATTTCGAATATGAACAACAAACAGAAAACTGAACACCATTGTTTTCAATTGGTTCGTTATCAGACTTAGCTCTAATATGCAGTTCTATTTGCATGAAAGTTAATTCTGATGAAAATCTAATGGTAAACAACATTGTGCGGTTCTATTTTTGTCTTTCTAATTTACATTATGAGAATTCTCAACCATTTATTTTGAAGCTGATTTGAATATCTGTCAGTTACGATCAGGATGCTCAAGCTTTATGCTTTTGTCAAATATGTACCGATGGATACCCTTTTTCGATACATATTTCCTTTAAGAGATTCATTTGATTATCTATAACTTCAGGATTAAATATTCTTTGTATCTGTGTATCGAAGAAAATCATCAAAAACTAAAACTGACAAGTGATCTTAACTCAGTCTATGATAAAGAGTGTCAACGTTTTAAATGATCTTGTAGTTACTGAAGATACCTGGGAGTTCACAGAGTCGACAGGATCAACAACACCATGAATATATGTTTTGCTTAAACTTTACAAACCTGCACTACCCCTCCGAATAGTTATTCATAGGTTCGGATGCTTTTACTACGCTATAACAAAATGGTTGAGAGATTGCCTGCAATTCATAGGAAAATATATTTGTATACATTCTCGACATGACACTCCCGAATTTATTGATTACATACAATAAGTGAATATAAATGACCAACTTATCCTTTTACTTGATGTACAGTTAGTATTCATCAATTTCCTACTCACAAAGACTATTTGCTTGATAAATGATTATGGGATTAATATCGAACTATAAAAATCTTACTAAAAGGAATTAATATTACGATGCACCTGTAATGTACACTTTACATTCAGCGACGTAATTTATAGACTAAAAGATAGCACAGGAATGGGATCCCCTCTTGACCGATTACTAGCAGATTGTGTTCAATCTGGAAAACAATTAACTTAAAGCAACTATTGACAACTCCCACTAATATAAAAGGTACGTGAACGATGTCTCTATGATTTGAATCAACAAATATTCTTTGATTAATCATCTTCTGCAAACATTTGATTTTTACCACACAGCAATAAATTTCACACTAGAAGTTGTAAATAAACAAAGTATTGACTTTCGTTATGTCACATTGACAGTAAATCATGAAGAAACTGTAAGAAGATCTATTTACTAGAAACTTTCCTGGAATGGTCAGCTATAAAGCTTTCACGTCAGGATCCACATCAGTTGAAATCGACACTAAATCATACTCCTAGCCACACGAAAATTTAGAATTTGTTATCTCGAGCTCATAGATAACGAAATGAACCACCTAAAGAGAATAACTGTAGAAAACGGATCGCCATCGCTATCTATTGATACGAATATAAAACTCAAACCTCCTAAAGCACAACTATCCTCCTTACCAAAGAAAACTCTTTATACGAAGATCGATTTCAAAGGTGATATAGCTACAGGCATCCTGAATAAGGTAATTCCCGACTCTCTCAGTAGAATATTCATCGAAATAACTTTGTGACTAGTGTTCTCTAACCGACCAATGTTCATTAACAATCTCAAAGATAAATTATCACATTCAACTAATTCCATTCCTGTCTATCAATTTACCTGTTCATGTGGAGCCAGGTATTTGGGTCGTCCGATGCATATTTCATTCAAAAGAATTCAAGAACACTGTCTGAAAAGAGGCGAGAATGGCTTAATAAGAAGCTCAACAATTGAACACCTTGTGAACACAGGGCATTCAATGCAAATTGACTCTGCGTTCAAAGTTATTTGCAAGGTAAGTGGAAAGCTGTCAGAGACAGTTGTATTGGCATTGCAGAGACATCTGCTGTGTATGTGTGTGTACCATGACCTTAATCTCTCGTGACTTTTTATTCATTCCTTCTTTCATGATCATCTACTTCACTTCTATCTTCACTGCAAAACCTTGATTTTTTTCTGTTTCTATGATCCTACTAAATACAATTCATCTCAATTTCAGCATTTTATCTTATCATGCTGAGCTTTCCCCATCCAATTATAATTTCTTTATTTATCTTCATGATGAATATTCAAGGTTTCACCAAAAATATTATTATCATTTTTCTTTAGTAAAAAACATGTTTATTTTACCTCACTGTTACCACGTTCAGCAAAATTTTATTATCTCTACTATCGTAGTTATGATCACTTTGAAAAATAAGTAAATGTTTGCGGTTGTACAGCTTTGAAAATGAATTCGCCCAAAACAGAACCCTTCTCCAAACCAATGCTTCTTATCTTATAGTTATCATTAATGGACTTGCAAAACTAAGATTCTATTTTATTGAATTATCTGTAGATTTGTCTTCAGATTATGTAATGATTTTACGTAAAACTGTGTTGAACAAATAGAAATAAGAAAATGTTTGAGTAATAACAAGAAGTTGAAATTATTTCTAAATCATTTATCGCTTACGTCGGTGTATATTGGGAAACTTGGTATTGGGCTCAATACCAAAGTCTGACCGGTAAAATTTTTTGTACTCCCACTGATATTAACAAATGTTGGGAAAGCGTAGTTTATTGTCGTTGTCACATTGCAATCTCCCATTAAATAAAGAGTATGTTTAAATTGCGTCTACACAATAAAAAAGAATCACATTGTTATGGTGTAAAATAATAATGAAAAACAGAAAAATGTTTAATCACAGTGTTGTATTGATTTCTCATATCATCAACAAATCACTGTTGTATTCGAAGAATTATCTTACTGCTTAAGCGTCGTATCAATCGACCAAATGTCAGGATTAACATAAATTATGTCTTTTCCATTGATGATCAGTAGGTGAGTTACAATTTCATGAATTCCGTCAATGAATGAATAAATCCATTTTCCAAAAAATTGGCAGGAATTTAATGTGGATATTAAAATATGAAATAATCGACCATAAATACATACGTCAGGCCAACAATTTGAATTTGAAATCTAGAAGTGACCTAAACTAACAGTGTGTCACTATCAATCAGTGTTTTCCTTATCATAAAAGTCAAGTATGTTTTTATTTGTAAGTAACCTTATTACTTGACACTTTCACTACAAAGACACTTTATTTATATCTTCTCTAATTCTAGAAAATGCCAATAATTACGTTATGAATTTCGGCAGAAAACCTTAAAATATTCCAATAACGCGTATCTCACTAAGATCAAGGCGAATGACTCGATCATTATAAATGACGGTAATAGTTACTACATTTTGTTTCAAAAGAAGATAAAATCAGAAAAATTACGAACACACTAGAATTCAAGGAGTGACTGATGTTTACCATATCATCTCAGAATGTAATCACCATCAAATACCTGTAAAATAACAGAACTCATTCTGATGTTTACTATATTCGTTTTCATATTGTCAGTCGGATGCCTACCATGGTCTTCGAACGGCCTAACGAATCATCAGTAGTGAAAATAATACTGACAATAATGGAGTGCTCAACACTAATTAACAGTTTACCTTCTGGTGTCCAACTGAAAGTTGATTCTGGTTAACTCTTGGACAGACATTTAGATTCGAGGGTAGTGAGAAAACCTCACTATCAAAGCTACTAAGGATATTTAGATAATCATGTTGAAAGTGAAATCTAGTCCGTGTTAATTTTGATTGTATTCGAAATGTAAACTTTGATTTGTATATCTGTTACTAACTACACTTAAATTAGTTACTAATTTTTTCTGTTGTTTGTCACAAAATTTTGTGTAACTACGTTTCATGAAGTTTTTAAGTTTTTGATCGAAACTACTTAATGCATTCCATTAGATTACCATTAACAACTCGAAAATTGGTTTTAATGCATTTTACTGTAATTGTATAAAGGATCAAGCATGTTTATTTTCAATTTTTATTTAAGAAAACAATCCCGACACAGTTTTATCTGAACACAGTGTACAACAGGACACTTACTATTGTGTAGACTTACGCAATAAACATATTGATTGATGAGGCATGATGGACCGTAATCCACTCTCACATAACTGAAATTAAAATCATTAATTTTATGGTTTGTTTGTACATATTAGAAGAGTTATGGGGTGCGTTAACAATCGAATCGGCAAGCACAAAAGTCATGCTAATGATGAACAGAAATTTATTTTTTAGTATGGCGTCAACAGAGTAACGATACAGTCGACTGCAAAAAACGTATGAACCAAATGTTCTGTTTTACTTAAACTGTAATAATTAATAAAGACATCATCTAGAGATAGAATCACTATGAAATAATTCGCCGTTTTAACTTTCCAGGCATATGTTTACGTGAAAATCATTGAAATCTTGTTTCACTTAAATCATAAACTGAACGACGTAATACCACCATTCAAAATCTGAATTGCCATTTCTCCCCAGTATGCGACTCCTCAACAGTTCGCTTTATGTGTACTGCTTCTACGTTTTCAATGATGGTCTAACATTGATTTTAATTAAATTCAGGAATCTCTACAACCATATACTGACATCTAAATCATGCGGTACTCGTCATTTTAAAGACGTGTATATGTGATCATAGACAAGCAAACTTCTATCACTATTTTATCACATCAACTGGTTTATCACTTTCTCAGTTATTTCATAACAACATTCTGTTAATGTTTGAAATCAGATAACTTTTAATATTTATCTATGTACTCATGTTTGAGTAGAGTAAAAATGATCATTTTGATGTTTAGAAAATTCCAATTAGAGAGAATTAACTCTTTTCTCAAATCTCTTTTTTTCATTATGACTGTACATTGTTTTACATTTTTACCCGATCAGTTCCCTTAACAAATTTAAATGAAGCAAGAACTAAATTAAATGGATGATTTCATGAATTCATCATTGCATTTTACTGCTTCCTCTTCCTCTGTATGAATGAACTGGTTTGGTGGTCTTCAATTATTTACATAAATTGAAATGTGAAAAAATGAATTGCTCTGAGGTAAAAAATGGGTAAAATCGAACATAAGATTACTGACTCATAAGTAGTCTTAATCGGTGTACTAATAGATTGTTTTACTATTTATTGCCTTGTGAATGTAAAGTGACAAATAACTTTCAGCAAAAGCATGAAAATTTAGCGCATACAATTACGATGAAAATAATGTCAAACGTAAGTATTCAGCTCCAGCTGTTCAACTAAGACCACTTCTCGAATTACCAATATAATTCTTATCTAGATCTCTTAAGTTTTTTTCTCATAATTTCACACAATTCACTTTCAATCACTGGAAGTAAGTGTGTACATTTATGGAACGCTAGTCTAGTTACAGTAGCATATAAAACAATTAATGGACAACAACGTAGGATTTAATCAGTTTAAACTAACCTACGTTCAGATGTCAAATTTATAGAGAATGAGGTTGAGAACCACACATCTAGACCACTTTTATATACATCTACTTTTGTAACATTAAGAGCTGCACTACCATTCACAATTCTGTTGATCCAATATGTAAAGAATGAACAACGTCTTTCAAACGGACACATATTCAATATAAATTCAAACGGTCCTCCAGTACACATTTGTTTATATACATCAGTGGCACTTGGATAATTCAACGTCCAAGTATTTGTATGAGTTGTAGTAAATGCCTATGTTTAAAAAATATCAAGACTGAAATCACCACGTTGTATGAAAAGAGTTACACAATTAGCAAGAGAATGTTTTACAATCCCGAATTTAAAAATTGCTTGGCAAAATCACAAATTAATATAGATTTTCCTCACTCATACAATTATGTACTGTACTTATTCAATAATATGTTTCTCATCTTAATATCTGAAAAAGAGATATTCCATGCATAACATGTTTAATTTCAACAAAAACATAAGATTAATGTATTCATAGATGTATATTCAAACGTGAATGTCCAATTACTTACAACATCATAGACCGATCGATGTTAGGTCACAATTGTAAACCTGTGAGCACTGTACAGCCGTTTCTTTATAGTATGGGGCTCCACAGCAGTGAGTATCCATGATCCTGCACGCAGGATTAATGCATAACTTCAACCAATACACGATAATGTGCGACCATCTTCAATTGTATTCGTGAGTAACTGTCTCACACCCGAGACGGTTAGAAATCAACATTGTTGCTGCTCTGTGATTTGGAGGATGAGCGTTGTCACGCCAGACAGAAAGCACTATGTTCGAGTCCTGCGTGCGAGATCAAGGAGACGCACTGCTGCGGAGTCGAGTACTAGGATGAAATGGCTATCCAGTGCTTACATGTTTTCAATTGTGGTCTAACATCGATCGGTTAATAATCTCGATAAAAACTCAACAATCTCCACGACCTTATACTGATAATTACAATTAGTTAGGAAATAGTGTCATGTTTTTTTAGTAAATAAATTCTAATTAAAACCATCTTTCAAACCAATGAAAATTATATGAAATTTTGGTTACAATCTCATTAATGAACTTAAGTTAATATGTCATTTTTCAATGTCATTTTTTGTCAAGTATATCCTCTAAAACCTGGAAATTGTTTTCATATCTTTCTTCAGATGGAAAAATTCAATGTCATTATTTTCAAAACCATTAACATCATCTACATGAATGGAATATAAGCGGAGATACAAAGTGTTCATTTAACAAATTTCAATAGGTGTCAAGTATACTTTAATAGTGGTTTCAAATGTATTACCAATTAATTTTACTTTCATGAACATATACTTTACAACTACGGAATGGCTAATCCTTGTGATTCCACTATTTTCACGTCATATAGATCAAAACTAAAGTTCAATAAGTAGACAGTGTACAGTTTCATATGAATAATGGGTTTAAGTAAAGTGACCCAATTTAAATGAGCCACTTATGGAGAAAATAGAGCTTAACTTTTTTTCCAATTTCTTGCTTTGACATCGTTTTCTTTCGTCGACTCATTAGTATTGTAGTAATTGATGTTAGAAAATTGCTATATATAATAGAACACATCAATTTGATACAAAACTGTTATTGAAAATTACGGACTAGTAAGAAGATTGAAAGATACGTTTATTTCACTTCATTAAAAATCTTGAAGGTACATGACATGAGTAAACTTCTGTTTCCTAAAGTGATACTTACTAATACTCTGATACACTGAATTAATTATCTTATTGTAGAAAATTCAGATAACTAGGTAGAATTTATTTGTATCGATTATCAGTTAAAGTCCATTTAACTCACTTTATATGAAGTTATAGTTAATACATTCATGGTTTTCAAGCCGTGACTTTCAGGAGAACTCAAATCTATGTCGCATCAGTGTTTCATATGAATGATTCGTTTAAACTTCGATTTCATTCATCATACAAAGATGGTCAATCTCATAGAGTAACCGTGGGCAGTAACTATAATGGTCGGCAATCAAACCTTGCCAACGAAACGTTTTAGCAATATTTCCTTCGACGAACAAGTTTATCATAGCAACATAGCCTATTTGTCTCTGTTTCACAAAAGTAATGGACTGATTTTATGAAATGATAACTTTTATGATACAATATTCTCTTTTTCTCATTTTTCCTATGATTGTTGTATATTCCACATATTTTCAATTGAGGCTTCAGTTAGGTTTGAGACAGATAATGTCAAAACGCTACTTCGCAGTTTCATAAGTGGCTAATAATGGAAACACCATTTAGCTGTCAAGAGTACTCGCCCATCCCAAACATTAATAAAGCTTTATTGATTCATGATCACTGAATGGCGAAACTGTAGACGATTATTATAATGGATTACTGGAAATGAGAAACAAGTGTTTAGTACTAACTTAAACAGACAACATTTCCACTGTTTCAATGATTAGTAAGTTCGAGTATTTATGGAAAATGATGATGGTTTTAGAAGACTAGATGAAATTTGCGAACCATTTCTTAAACCAATGTCTTAACACTGTGACAGTGATTGAATTTTCATCACTATAACAGGAGTAAAAACCTAAGATAGTTCTTCAAAAGAAACCATGGTGGTAGAACGACATACGACTGGAGTGGATTATTGTTCATGTGAAGGTCGATATATGTTAAACTACTGAAGCCAGACGTCTTCGTGAGTAGCTCTTTCTGTTACAAATTAGTCCATTGGTTAGAAAGCTAGCTGAAACCACTTGATTAAGGACCGATCGCGTACAGTTTGGAGGACAATCTCAGGTTTCCGGAAGTAACAAATTAAGTTCATATGTAAGACGTTTCACACTTCTGACCTATCGTTACAACTTATTAACGTTACCTCATTTAGCATTGTTCGCTTGAATCTTGCCATTGATGTTTTGGACTGCAATTGATCAGTCTCTTGTTGACATATGTGCTTCCTGTACGGATTGTCTCGATATCGCATTAACTCACAAGCATTATGAGCAAAGATGTGTGGTAGTTGGCAGTGGAATCCAGGACGTGTTTTTGGCACTCGTCAGCTGGATGTAACTGTGTTATGCCCCGACAAGAATAATCAGTGGTAATTTTTGGGATCCATTTGTGGACCAATACTATACCTATATTATACCGTATAATTGTTAATCAAATAAACAATTCTATCGATTAAATGTTAAATATTTCTATGACAGTCGATTGACCAAATCATCAATTAAATGTTCAAAAATACTTCCATGGTAATATCGATTATATACATATAATTGATATATATACGTTTGTATTGTGTTTGTGGATCGCTATCTGATTGTTCGTTTGTGGCTGTTTTCAGAATATACTTTCCCATTCCAAGCTTGGACTTCTCCTTCTAGTTAGCGGGGCAGGGACGCATCAAATAGCTAGTTTACTGGTCTTTGGTCACTGAGTCTTTATTCTCGTTCCCAGATTAAGTGAACTCGTGACAGCACCAACCCTAGCAAACTGCATCCCAGATTAGATGCAGATACATTCAGCTGACTCGTGCCAAACAGAACTAAAAGCGCGTCCTGGATTCTAATGCTAGCCACCATCCATCTTTGCTCATTAACCTTGCCATTAAAATATTTAACATAATTATATTCTAGGCACAATTCACAGAGTTGTTATGGCTATGACTTAAAAACATACATTTTTAGTTCAACAATAAGACAAACTGTCTAGAACCTGTATATTTATGAGTAAACATTTGAGACGAGTCATTGCTCAAGTCCTCCTTGTGAAACTAAGAAGAACAAAATTACGGCATTGTATGTATGACGTGATGATGATGATAATTTCATTGCGAGATAAAATAATAGAAATATTCTAATGAAATGTTAAAGTAGAGCTCAATTTAATATGGAAGCGACAACTGAGAATGTAAGAAAATGATTTAGCGTAATATCGGCGTATTCTGCTCAAATTATTGATAAACCTGTTAAACTTGTCACAATGTTGCCATGGAAAACAATGATTGTCCTCTGACGGATGGTTTATGTTTTATTCTCATATATGTTATTACCTTGAACTAATTAGACTTATTAACTTGCATTTAGCTGAGGTGAAAAACGAAATACAATTCATATTATATTCTGCCAGTTATAAATTGAACCGAACGAACAGCAGAAAAGCTTAATAACCGAATTATCGGCCATTTGAGAAGATCCTCTAGTGTGAATAACGATTTCACGCCAGAATTCGGTACTGATTGTGTTTGACGAACTATCAACATCTAATTACAACCACAGATAAGTGGTATCCTCAAATCTGTCTTTTCTTAAAAGACCTCAATAAAACTACAATATCCATCGATAATATGGATAAAAGTTTTATCGAGTCTATGTAACGTAAACATCTGGGTCTTGCTTGAAAATAATACTTTAACCATTAGTATTGTATACGGATTCCATTAAATAATGTAAATAAGTCAAGTAACAAAATTATCTTAATGTAATTTGAAGCAAGTTTAATGAAAATGTGTGATCTGACTTACTGCTGGAGTGGTGGTAGTAAATATGAAATTACCAAATATAGAGATTGAATTGACTGTCAGATTGTAAGTGAAATTGACCAGTGGTCTGACAGAATTCGCAGTGAACATTGGGATATAGTAAGTCAACTGATTTGCTGCCGAAGTCGTTTGATCGGTTGCAATTCCTATAAACGCAAGATATAAATTGACAGTCTAATTTCCTGATGAGGCGAATTTGAATGCTTGAATTTTGACAACTATCAATTTATTGTATCTACGTGCATCTACACAAGAGAGCGTAGTTCTTATGGAATCGACGAACGACAATTTCATACGAAATGGATATTAATACACTCGACCTACTACAATCATAACGTTCTTGAAGATTTTTCAATCAGCTGAAGGAATATTTACTTGAAAGTGTTCAGATTGTTTGATTGTAAAATCAAATATTGATATTTTAGATGATCAATTAGTAATGTATAGGTATATTAAATACTGTGCTAGGTTGTAACATATCCACTAGGTTTCAAGAACGTTCGATAAACGAAGGAATTCCTCGTCAACTAATCTACTTTCAACTATACACCAGCACGTATGCATGCAAAATTATCAATCTAGAAACAATTAGTACCTGAAGTTGAATTTCACATTTAGATTTTAAAGTGGGTATACAGTAAAGATATACAGAATTTATCAAAACATATATGGAAGTAAAGTATCATAATTGTCAGAACAGATTATAATAATAAGTAAGATAACAATAGGAAATAAAAAGGTTTGTGCAAGCGCTATGTATAAAAATAACATTGAGTTGAATATTAAGAAGATGGATGTCATCTACCAAATTAGCTGGATGATCTCAAATAATAGTACTTAATTACTTGCTTACTATCTCCTGTTACCCCTAGTGTTGGAGCATAGGCCACCCACCAGTATCTTACGTAGACAATTGTTTATAATTACTTGTAGTAGTTTTCCAAGTTTCAGCTCAGTACAACAGAACAAACTTTTTTGACATTCGCATTGAACATTGTGTGTTTGGTATTGGCTGATAGTTGTTTTGTGTTCTACATGTTCTTCAATTGTAGGAATGTTATCCTTACTTTGCCAATCCTCGCCTTTACGTCTGCATCCGATCCTCCTTGTTAATCGATGATGCTTCTTAGGTACGTGAGAGAGTAAGCAGCCTTGTCTTACTCCGTTCCTCAATTGTGATGCATCTGTCAGCTGCCATACGTGCACCACTTTGCACAGTAGCCCATCGGATGAATTCCGTATGATATTGACGATCTTTTCAGGTACACCATAGTGTCGGAGAAGTTTACATAAAGTCCTCCTATCCACAATGTCGAACACTTTCTCATAGTCAAGGAAGTAGATATACAGTGACGAGTCCCATTTGATTGATTGCTCAACGATGATCCGTAGTGTTGCGATTTGGTTTGTGCACGACCTATTCTTGAGAATCCAGTCTGTGGATCTCGAAGTTGAGCGTCCACTGAACTCCTCATTCGGTCCAGCAACACTGTTGTAAACGCTTTCTGGTACCGATAAAAGTGCGATGCCTCTATAATTCTCGCATTTTCTCAGGTCTCCATTCTTTGGTATCTTGATGAGGTGTCATTCTTTCCAGTATGTCAATGGCACTTGATCCTCCTCCAAAATCTTCCTGAAGAGAATGTGGCACATGTTTGCAGTAACTTCTATGTCTATAGGAAGTTTTGTGTGTGCTGTTTCAATGTCTATTGGATTAAGTGGGGCTGGCTTACACGAAAGTTTCTCAAAGTGTTCTACCCATCTGTTCCTCCGATCTCAAGTCTCGGTGATTGTCTTGCTACTCTTAAGACTGTTCTTTATCGTCCTCATTGCTATCATTGGTGGGTGCATAACACTGGATAATATTCATTGTGATTTCTTCCTTCTTGTTTTGAAGGATGCTTTGATGGATCTAGAGCCATGAGATTACCATCCTATAAGTTCATTCCATGCTTCACTGAACAGCATCAATGCAACTCCCTGAGTGTGAAGAGAATTTTCCTCTTCATGATCAGAGTATAGCAGCATCTCATTCGTATCTATCTTTTTTGTGCGGATTGAATGCAGTGGGCTTCACTAATTTCGAGCACCGTCAAGTTGTATTTCTTCATTTCCACAGCTATTTGAATAGTCTTCTCGATCTCCCACATTGTTCGGACGTTCCATGTACATATAAAAATTGTTGCTGTGGTTGTTAGAATGAGTATCGGTCTCATGACTTCCGAGGAATCTCGGCCTTCACCACTAGGCTTCATAGTTCTTCTGAATGAAGATACTTCAACTCGGAGAGCAGAGTTATATGGCTTTAATTTGTGTATTCTGATTAGCGTTTGTTTTCACAAGGTTGTTTTCTACGGGATTAGGTTGCTCACATTGATTAGTCAATACAGTTATTTTTGCAAATAAAACAGAAGTGGTATGAATTTTCTCAAGAACGTTCACTTTAAGTACTGACTAGAACTGAGTCTATTATATCAGTCTTATGACTCATCATCATTATTTCAAATAAACTATTGCTATATTAAACCAGACAATAAATCTTTTAAGATTACTTAAAGTAGGTCAGTATAATTACTTTTCAGTTGGAATAATTCAAACTAATCTCGATATAGGAATGTCAGTGGGAATATCAATTAATTCTTTCTGGATAAATTTCAAAATAGCAGAGCATTGTAAATTGCAGGCTTAATACTACCGTGTTCGTAAATTCACAGTTTGATTAAGAGACTGTGACAAAATTATTTTCTGAGTTCCACAGATATTGATGGTTTTTGGGACTTAGATGAATTTTGTTCTCTTTGGAACAATAAATTTAAGGAATGGTAGACTTGATCGTAGACACTAATTACAATTAAGAATACGGTCAAATGATCAACGATGGAGATTTTTTTTCACAGAAATATCTATATAAGTGTTTCAAAGAGAAGAGTAGACATAGGAAATTATCTTGATTTACTGGCGAACCGTCACTAATTTCTTGGAATTCTTGAACTGAGTTGAAATAGATTAACTTTCACTGGATTATTTAATGGAGGGAAACACGTTCTGCAGATTAAATATTTCAATGTCTTGATAAATGTAGTTGATCTGTTTATTATCAATCAAAAATTAAAATTCTATGGGGAAATGATTCAATGCATATGGTTCAAATGAAACGGTAAGCTGAATAGATTAACACTCAACGAAACAATCTACATCGATTGTTTTGATGAAATCATAGCGAGATTAAGGAGGATTAATATGACAATGCAACCACGTAGATAAGAGTGTGCATATGTAGTTAGAACAAAAAATGTGTACATTATTGAATTTGTAATAAAACCCTATTAACTGACGAGAAATTAGTTTGAAGACTGCCGCGACATTATTCGGTAGCTTTATTGAATACAGAAAAAAAGATTCATCTATAAACTCGTTTCTTAATAAGAGATAGTGTATTAGTAATCATATCAATACTGAACACTATAAGTAAAACAGTGCAGTAAATGTTAACAAACCTTCGTAATAAGTTTTATCTATACTGATATAAACCATATTTTCCAGAGAGTCCGAAACTGAGCTGACATATGGCAATGATGTTGATTGGCTTAGCATTATTGGCTTGACTAATATGTATTCTTGGTAGGCACCTGGAGCATAAAGTTGAAAATATATCGTCTGCCATACATTGGGTTTCAGAGTTAGCGTTAACTTCAGTGATGTTAAATAGTTCGGTATAACTTGATTTTTGACTGTTTTTGAATCAATAGAAATTAGATCAACTCCTGGAGCCTGACTTGATGACTTAAAAAATTAATAAATGAAAATTCCTCTTATACTCTGTAAAAGTTTAAATAAAATGTGTTATGAACTAAACACTTACAACTTACCCCTATAATCACGAATTAATAAACTCGATAAAATTACAATGCTCTTCAGTGGTTTCATTCAAGATGAATTTTAGAGTTTCCTGATGGATCCATTAACCTGTCATGTAAGTCAATCAGAGAGTCAGGTTTGGTGTTCAAATCGAAAGTAAATCTTGATAGGACTAATCTACGAGATGATTTAATGAAGAATATTATAAATCAATGAATTTTCACTAATAATTTAGTAACATAGTGTGTATCATAAATGCTAGTTACCTTATATTCAATATTACTCTGCTTTTGCTGGTTACTGAATCATCATACATGAAAGTCGTCTTCAAATTTATCAAATTTTACAACACAACGAAGTGAACAACCTGTTGTACATCACTTCAACTTGTGTATGTATGTCACGTTGCAAAAATCATACTTGTTCTAACCAGTTATCAATATTTGTGTAAACCTAAATAACAGCCAGTGGTTTAAGGTAGGGTAACTAACTCTGAAGTAAAGTATAAAGTAAAATTCAATGTAACAAAATATTGTTTGAAGTCATACCAACACAGTAGAGTAGTTAGCTCGTGGAGAAATAGTTAATGTTTTCGTAAAACTGGATACACCAGAGGTAAATGTTGATGTGATTACTAAAGGCTTTGTGGTAATTGGGACTATCGAGTAACGCATTGCAATATCACACTGAGCATCTGTACATGATTCATTGAAATACACTGAATTTATTTGCAATGTAGCCAAATTACTTTGGTAATCGGGAAAAGAAAATTAAAAGAAAAGGAAGAAAGACTTGTTGATATTTGTTAGAATTACATATATACTGTAGTGCAGTATGAAATTATTTTTATAATGGTTATTAGGGATGAGTTGTTGTTTCACTGAAATATTTCCAGCTTTCGATAATCACAGTAAGTTAGTGAGTAGAAAGTGCATAATTTCACCACATTCATGAGTGTTTTGCCAAAAGTGTGAACAACAAATATATCAGTGGTTATTGAAGCTGGTTAGGTTCAATTTTCATTTTATTCATGGTTCATCGAAATGATAGAAATATTATGATTATAAGCAAAATGAATAGTGGCTAGCAGTGGAATCGAAGATGCTCATTTCGTCCAATTTGGGACTCGTCAACCGGATGTACCTGCATCTCAGATTTGATGTTCACTCTGGGACTCTAACCCATTGCCGTTCGCTTCAAACACCATCGTGTTATCCACTTAGCTACTGAGTCCTCAATAGAACGAAACGCGCGTCCTGGATACCACTGCTAGCCACTATCCATCTTTGCTTATTATGCTTATGAATTATGACAACAGCAAGACAATACGCACAGTGTGCACATATGCCATTAAAAGACTGATCAATTGCAATCCCACACATCAGTGGGAAGATTCAAGGAAACAATACCAAGTGAATAATAGGACATTTTACTCAATTAACTTTTGAGAAACACTTAGTATACAATCGGCTACGCATATTGTTAAGGATTGTGATAAGGCACATTATGTAATAATGAAAATAATAATGTTGATACGTCAAACGGGTTCGATCAACAGTGATTCAGTTAAGTTCAGTCTTTTCAACGTATATAAAGGATAACGGTCAGCATCATGGATACTACAACATTTATATATATAAATGAAAATTGAATATTAACTCGTTATAGATTACCTACATTTAGGTCCCTACTACAGTGACTGGTAATTGAATGTATGTGGCAATCTACAACCCCTACACGTGTTGAATTCTTAACGAAAATATGGATTAACAAAAGGATAATAATGTACAATTTCTATATACTGAGAATTAAAGTATTTTCTCAAATATCTAAATCTTATCTATCGGAAAAAATGTAGTCTAACACTCAGTGGATATTTCTGAAATTATAACTCAGGAAAATATAATGTATTTCTTTGCACAGAAATCTACTGATATGTGAAATGTAATTTGGAAAACTGATAAAACAAACTGACACAGAGTTCTGGATAGTACATTCAGATTTATTGACGAATTATGCAGGATAGTCTTCGAGAATAATCTCCAAAAGTTAAAAGTTTGATAAATATTGTGTATTTCATCAAGGAATTCTGGTTTGAAACTAGTAAATTACAGGTATTTGTAAGTAATTTGGTTCACATTTGAAGTGGCGGAACTGGTCCAAATCCATATACTTGATTCTTTGTAACATTATACATGAGTATATATATATATATATATATATATATATATATATATATATATATATATATATATATATATATTTACATATGCATAAGAATACGGTTGATAATCAAACTTACGGTTTAACAGAAAAATCATAGGCCACAAGTGCTACAGCTTTTAATAGATATCCAATTGTTTGAATACTCTGTCTGATTATAGTTGCTTCATTTGAATTTACTTGCAGTTGAAAAGTTATCGGCATGTAGACAAAGTCTTTAACGAATTTCACTCGAACTTCTACAATTGTACTAAAGTTTACTGTTGGTTGTGAATTTCGTGGTTCGACTTTTTCAATGGTAACTACAGGAGTTTTAGAGACCTAATTTCAAATAGTGTTTGGAAATGATAACAAATAATAATTTAATGAATGCAAAATTGTGAGATTGATTACAATTTAAGTTTACATTTATATGTAGTTTATATTTGCGTTATACGCATTCATCTGAAATGATTTACTTGGAATAATAAATGTTAGACAAACAGCATGACTGATTAATTTAGGTGTGATTTAAACGAAAAGTATTTGGGTAAGCAGGACATCCAGATTTTGTTGAAAATTATCAGGAGCTAAAGTGGCGTAGTATTATATTTCACGCTACATTTATAAAGCTGTGCAATTTAAAGTGCTCCATGCTAAAACATTGATATTTTTGTATTTCAGTTGCTAACGTCTGTAACCACTAATTGCTTCGGTATAAATCAACAATCACTAAGTCAAATATCGTAAAATAAACGGCCGTACCTTTTAATGCTAAACAAGAGATCTTGACTAAATCTGTACCCCTTTTAATTGGGTCAAAAATTTATTTCAGTGGAGCACATTAGTTCACCTTCAGTCAATTCAGTGACAGATGGATGGTGACTCGAAATTAGACTATGATACAAGAAATCGACGTGTATAGGAAAATGGTGGTTGATGTGATCTGGGATTCGATACCAAAATCAGTATACCTACAGAACAAAAGTGTTTCGACTTAATTTGTAGGAGTTTGGATTATCCGGCTGTAGATTTTCTGATTGAATTCTGACTAGTCATATTTGGTGCATGTGCAGCCAATGCAGATCACTTTCATATTGTTGAGACAGCTTCCGAAAACTACAACTGAGCCTCCAGAGACCATAGAGAAACCAATGAGTTCCATCTAATCAGAAAGTAATGGGGACTTCTAGAATATCAATATGGCATGCTACTATTGACCGGTGGCATAACATGTTTATTCGCGGACTGGTTGAATTATAATGTTGATATAACAAGCGTTAAATACCCATGATTTTCTGTACATTTTGAATCTTACCCATCAAGCACTTTATCAAGTGTTCTTCTACTTTCTTTTTATTTGCGACTTGGAGTGATCTAGCGTTCGATTGCTCAGGTTATACGTGGTATATTAAGAACCTAAACTAGATATAACAATGTTAGGTTCGTTAACCTTGAGGATACTAATGATTCGACTTATTCGGAACGGAACGAAGGCTCAGGATTCAGAGACTCAATAGACTATTCTGGTCCGTTGTCTTCGACTCAGCTAACTCGATCAAGAAGTCTTGGTAAGGCGTAGAAAGTATATTCTACAAGCAACAGCAGATACCAAGTCAGGCAGGCAGATCAGATCAAGCATACAAGTCAAGCGTATTTATACAATTATTTACAATCGATATTGTCATAGGAAATTTTTAAACATTAATCAATGAGTTCATTAATTGACCTATTTGCGCATTTAATCGATAGTTCATCAATTGACTGCTATTCAAACATTTAATCGATCAGTTCATCAATTGACCCCAATACAAATATTTAAACGTTTAATCAATAAGTTGATCGATGCGATAAAATTCAAAATATGAGTTTGGGGATCTATCGTCCCCAACAAACAACTGTTGACGGGGTTAACTTATCAAAATGTCATTCATCTTTGACCAAATTGAAGCCTTGCTTGAGCGTCAAGAAAAACGTTACGAACAGTTCCAGATTTGTATTCTGGAAGCCCTAACCCAGCAAATGAGCCTACATCAAAGGGGGCTTACAGATGATCCACTCAAATCCAATGTTGACCACATTATTAATTCTATCCATGAATTTCATTTTGATGGTTTGGCTGGTGTTACATTTGAATCGTGGTTCAAGAAATATAAAGATGTGTTCAGGGTCGACCTAGAAAAATTTGACGATGTCGCAAAGAACAGAGTACTGCTACGCAAACTTGGTACAGCTGGACATGAACGCTACACCAACTTCATTTTCCCTTAGAACCCCAGAGACTTTTCATTTGATGCAACGGTCGTAACTTTGTCGCAAATTTTCGGTGAACAGTCATCTTTGTTCAATATTCATTACCAATTTCTGAAGTTGAATAAAGCTGGAGACGATGGCCGGGTGCAACATGCTGACATAGTAAGCGTTTCAAATTATCAGCAATGATAGAAGACCAGTTTAAGTATTTTGTATTTGTATACAGCTTTCAGCCGCTTGAAGATGTCGACGTCATAACCAGAATCCTGATTAAAATTGAACAGTGTCTAAATATGGCGCTATAAGAAGTGACTAGTGAATGTCAGACGTTGATGAACCTAAAACATGACACATCTATGGTTGAAAACAGTGGCCGGCCACCATACGTACAGGTAATAAATCGTCGGAAATATTTTTTTGTACGCACACATGACAGCTCAAACAAACAACCTCCACCGTAGTTCTGGTTATGCGGTGAGTGGCACTACAAGAAGATTTTCCCATATAAAAACTATCGTTATACTGAATGTCATCGTAAGTGTCATAGAGAATCCAGCTGCAGAAAAAGAACCCACCGTCGTTCTTCGAAAACCTATTTCAAAAAATACAGATCTGGTGCGATAACTCACAAAATATTGTTATCTCAGACCAAAGCACGAAGTTACCGCCGAAGAAAGTATGTAACTTTGGATATTATTAAACAACGCACTCGCCTTCGACTCGATACAGCATCTGATGTCACTCTCATCAGCCCAGAAACTTGGAGACATGTTGGGAGTCCCACAGTTCATCCAAAAACACAACTAACACACAGTGCATCTGGTGGGAAGTTGAATAATTTTGGAGAAGTACACTGCACTTTTCTAAAGGTAATATGACAACGAATGTAATAGTACACCTTACGAAGAATCCAACACTTGACTTGTTTGGATTAGATCTGATAGACACTACAACTAGCAGAGAATTTGATTAACAACTTCTGCAGCCGAATCAGAACTGATAACCCCCTTAGAGCGGAAGCAGAAAAATGCTGTGCTACAAAGACACCACCACGTGTTTATAGAAGGATTGGGAGAATGTACGAAAGTAAAAGCAATACTAACCCTCAAACATATTGTTTAGATGAATTATTAAATGAAAACATAAGTCCAGCTTACAGGAGTAGTGGGTATGGGTTGCTCCATAGACGTTACTGGAAGCGTTACAACTAAAGTACATACAGTTAGTGTTCCAGAAAACATCCGAACGTACGTTTGTATTGTATCACCCAAGACGTAGGTGGTATCATACCATAATTTCACTGCGAATTGGAAATTATAAAAAACATTCCATGGGTTATTGTTTCTAAATATACCAATTGTCGTTGTGCCTGTTGTTCTTCGCCCTTGAAGTACAGTGTATTCTGTTATTAGCCTGATCTGTAATGTTAGTTAAACAATCAAATTGAAATACGATATCAAAACATTAACTAATGTCGGATTACTCGATAGTGATGTGACAGTTCTTTGTTTATAAATATCAACGAAATCAATAGGATAACGTTTAACATCACTGAGTAAGAAAAATCTATACTTTATGCCTGACTTCGAGAGAAATATTATTGCTCAACTTCCAGCAATCAAACTAGTAAGAAGTAATACACACAAAACACTCCACACATATACGACATGTATTGTAATGACAAGATATTATACGCTGTTCAGTCATGTGACATATAAGTTTTCGGCTCAAATCGATTATATGTACATAACTCAATGTAAGTGATCCAGTAAAGATGGATACATGACTAAGTAAAGGATGGGATAAATCCATTGAAAATCCATTACTGTTTCATATGATGAATACAGCACTCAATCAACAGCGTTCAACATCAGATAAATAGAACCAATGACTATTGCAAGGATTTTGCTTTTGCATTCATTAAACATACCAGAGACAAAAACCAACAACACTCTTTTTGTTTAGTAATCTCCTCTTTAAAGTTTCCACCTCCTAGATTAAAGCAATGTTCATTCGTTGTTTTTATTAAACATTAAATGTTAGAGTATGTGCATCTAGGAATCATTGATCAAAGGAATGTCTAAATAATTTTAACTATTTAGAGTTTCCATAGATCAGTGAATACTGAATTAATAAACTGGTTGAAATTCATGTCAAACACAAGTCAAAATATTAAAAGTAGAAAGCTTTACTGTTAAGGGCTATACAAATTTATACTGATGGTGTAACCGTAGTTTATGTTACATGCAACATGTAGCACCTGCTTATGGAAATACAATTAGACACGTATTATCAGTGGAAACTCGTCCGTTATTATAGAAAATACAGTAAAATATGAAACTATGAATTTCTGACCTGTATCTCCCTGTTCTTCTTTAACCAAATGATCATTACGCAAACCCTTTTATTATTTAAAATATTGGATCATTACATGAAACAATGAATTTTATTGGTAGTGAAGAAGTATTCCTGTGGTGTGTGTTACTTATTTTGACATATGTTGTATATGACGCGAGTTAAAAACCTATTGTCTGGCAGCAGAAGATGGGAGAAGATCAAGAAAGGAAGAGCGGGAACACAATGCAATTTGTAACAAAACGCAAGAATAATGAAATACGAGATAATGGATTAGTGTTTGCAACAGGAACAGTCCAGGTTGATATGATGGATTGATATTTTGCAAATTAACGATTTGCTATATGGTTTTTCTATTTTACCAAGAAACTCTGTAATTTTGCGCTAAATACAATTCGATTTTCCACACCCGTGTTCTGCTCACTAAATTCCTATTTATCAAACAGACACAGAGCTGAATGTTTCACTCCGAATTCATCGAAGTTTTAATTCTAATCTCAGTAAGAAGGTGTTCGAGTAAATTATACATGAAGCTCAACATCTGATTGAACTTCTAATAAAAGTGCACAGAATGAAATTATCCACTAGCCGTTTTCTCATTGTAGTGAAGGATCTATGATATATGTAGGTAATTAGTGGATGTGCTATTCAGTAAATAATTAGATATTCTCCAAACATGTTTCTAGGTAATAGTGATATTACAATGACGAGATGAGCTTGTTCATTCAAATGATTTTGATTTTAGACAAATTCTTAAAATAAAAGATTAAATTGTTTAATGACATTCATTTATGTAATTAATTCATAAAACTATTAATTAGTTAAGGATAAGCAGAAATAATGAGGAATATTTGTCTAGAATGAACATTGAGAAGTGATGCCCTATAGGCGGAAACTATTAACTAAGAAACTAAATTGTCAAGATAATTATAACTGTTATTCTGAATTAGGTTAATTATAATATGCGAGTCGACATTCAACTTTATCTGACTGTTGTAGTCAAATAATGGCAAGTCAAATAGAATTGTTATCAGGGAAAATATAAATAAAATCCAAATGTCTAATTCAATATTTATGAGGAAGTATGTTGTTATTCCACTGAATGTACTAATAAATGAGAATTTGATTACATGTGTTTTTCCATTGCAATAATAATTATAGGAATCATTATTATCACGTAGTGCAGACAGACATCATCAGTGGAGAAACGTGGATCTATTCCCCAATATGTTGAATACACATATACTCATTAAATTCAGATGTCAGAAACATTCTAGTGATAAACACCTAGGCATAGATGGGCGCGGTTGCTAGCATGTGTTACATACAATAATAGAATGTGCACATATGTCCAATCATCTGAAAATTACACATAGAGATACAAGTTTCCGTTCGCAATTTCAAGTTACATGCAAATATAGAACGCATACGCCGCGCCACATACACTTCACTACAAAAAATATCGATTAAGACCAATGAATTCGTGATAAATATTAGACCTTCATCCTAAGTATTTTAACATCTTAAAAGTTATGTGCATAATAAATGCTCTATAATGTAACTCCTTATCTGAATAATATCTTCAAAATATGCATTGAGATACCATTTTTCAGCATATTGTAATACTATCGTTATTATGTAACACACTAATTGATTTCGGGTTCATACTATTGAGCTGTATATTGTAAGTACTCAGTGCAACGAAAATGCCAAACAATGAATTGAAGATCGAGTGGATTATGTTTTTATTCAGTATGAAAATATAATAACAGACATATTCGATCCAGACTTTTTCATTCAAGAAGAAGTGGCAAAGCTGAGGAAACTGGGTTTTCAATTAAGTAGTTATTCTTCTGATGAAGGTGAAAGGTATTGAAATAGTCATAAGATATGTTTCATAGTAAACGACTTGATAATAAATACGTCTTATGACATTATGCACAAAACGTTGATATCACGGAATGCAGGATTGTCAAACAATCCTTTTGATGGCCTCTGCATATATTGATATTTGTCATATGAAAATCTCATCCAAGAATATGTTACAAAACATGATAGTTGACGGTACAAAACCAGTATTAGTCATTTTAGACCAAAGATGAAAAGTGAACTTGTTTGATCATGTGTAAGCTGAAGAGAATAAATAAACAACCGTAGGTCTGCTAGGTAGTTATTTCAATCAGAAAGGTTATTGCTATCAGTGATATCTATGATTTCGGAACATCAGAACTACTGATATTTGTTTGTTTGTACTGAAGTTCGAATTTTCGGGGTTTACTCATCATATTTGATTGATTCATCTGGGTTGAGTCTTGTTGATCAATTCATATATATGTCACGATTAGAGAAAAGGATGATGATAGAGTGCCAATTAGAAGTAAAACCATTATTTACTATTGTCATTTGTTAACAGGCTATAATTGTGGATATGTATTAATGCAGTCAATTGTGACTTTGTACGATTGGTTGTGGTTCATAATTGCTGAATACAAAACTGTCTCTTGCATAATATTTTTTTGTTTTAATCTTGGCCATATTTGTATAAATTAAAGGACAGTATTGTAAAGTTAAGTATTGATTATCTGTAAACCAGTCGTGATAAAGTGTTTCGGAAAATGGCTGGATTTTACCGTTCACGTAATGGATCGGTTTTTTTTAACAGCCACTCGGTAACAGTAAGCATGAGGAAGATGCTTTGCACTGGAATGGCACTCCTCAGCATAGCATATCCATGGCTTGAGTGTGGACCAACCCAGGACATTGAGTTATCATTGCGAACACTTAGCCTTTAGGTCACTGAGTTGTCATCCGACGGTTTACATGTCTAACATAATTTAAGTCGTGACAGTCCACAGATGCCATCCGATGCCGATGTTGAGTACCTGTCTTACAATCGACATTGTTAAAGAATATTGGGTGATAATTATGTCCCTAATTAACCAATTGTTATGTTTGTCTTACATTGTTCCTACTCGCTCCCTTTCCACTCCTTTGTATCTTATTTTATACTACTTATTTACATTCAGTAAGCAGTTTATTCCCAACAATTTTTACACTTATGTTGTAACGCAAGTTGTAGTGTGATATTCTGAAATGTTCACATATACTAATAATGCTTATTGTACTTATCATTGTATTTATCATTATAATCACTGTACCTTAATCGCTGTAGCGGTTATCCACAGTTTTGTGCATTTGTTTAAACGCAACAGTTTCCATATTGTTTTGCTCTTGGCTCGGGTTTCGATTGTTCATAAACTGTTATCAAATTTAGACACAGCTATTAGCTGTCCTTTATACTAAGGTATGTTGTAATTATTCTTTATGTTACTGTTACAGGAAGCCTTTTTATGTCACACTTGAAGGACGCGTTTGAACGCCCCAGACACCCCACAAGTTGAGGTTTGTAACTAAATGTTGTGTATTATTCAATAAAGAACCGCTATTGTAGACAAATTGTTGTTTTGGAAACTTCGGTTTTGCGCGTATCTCAATCAGGTGACTTGGACGCTTCGATAGATCTAACACCAATCAAATCGTTGCTTAAACGCCTATCACGACAATCTGATCTGGTCTGACTGCATTCGTCGGATTGGTTTTACGTTTAAAAACAGATCAAGTTTAAAGACAAGTTGTCCTTGTTCTGACCATAGATTTCATATTGACTGGTGTCTTCAGTATCGCGTTTACACTTCTAGCACAATATCTGGCTTCCTATAATGTCCCTTGATGATGAGGAATAAACACTATGATAATCCATTATTTCGGGGTTGATATTTCTTCTCTCAATCCCTTCCTACCTAGTTATGTTTCTTGTGAAGTCTTCTAAACTGGTTTTATTATCAAGGTTTGACTTGATAGTTGAAAATAACCTGTGCATCAGCTGGAATGTTAGTAATAAAGTGATAGTATATTGATCATATCCCAATTATTAGAAAATCGATTTTCTCGCGTTTTGTGACTTTGTGTAAACTATTCTTCAGAGTAGACAAATAAAAAAAGAATAAACGAATCAAATTTACACAGTTTTAGATCGCATAAAAGAACACGTCAAAATATTTATTTTATTATTTTATACGATTTTAATCTGTGTTAATTTTTTTCGGTTACCTTTTTATATATCTACTCTGAAGAAGCGGTTTACACAAAGTCCAAAAACGCGAGAAATGTGATTTTCTACTCATCGGAATATAACCAATATATCGTTGTTTTATAATTTTAAGGTAATTATTTATCCTCAGGTTAGACGTCACTAACTTTAACTGTTTATTTGTCTCTTTCTGTGACGAGATAATAAACTGTATATATCAGTTTATTAGCAACTGTCTTAATTGTTTATCAAATATGTATTAACTTACTTTTCTAGATATTTTCCTCAATGTGTCGACCTTCCAAATATAATCATTTTTCTAGAATGACTCTGTTTCTTTAAATTAACTCGTAAACCGCCTTTAAGTGATCAATAGATTTGAACAACTTAGTGAAGTTGATGCCATCTGACATACCCTTAACATGTTCATCTTACTTATCTGATTTCGTAAGAAAATAATCATTTTAGTGGTCAGTTTCTAAAGCCATTAAATTTCTTCAAATATAAGCTATGATTTTACTTTCTCGTCTTTTCCCTAAACTTCACTCAGATAGTGCACGTTCTTCTGTATTTTGAACTGGATTATGTATGATGTAATCTATTTCTAGAATCCTGTCTCCGCCTTTTTATAAACATTCCCAGTTAAACTGTATGCAAAAACTGTATGGATAATATTTTTACTTCTTTCAAAATAACTGTCTTCCCACTAGTGTACATCTACGTCGACCACGGCCATAAGAAAGACGTCTCTTATATAAAATTTGGGTACTTAACTTTTTCATAGAATTAATATAACGAGGGAAATATCTTGTTAACGTACTAGATGAATAAGCTTTTCTATCCATTTGTATGCAATTATTTATTCATTGTAATAACCAACATATCAGTCTTCATATTTTCATGTGGATTGATGAAGTAATGAGGAATAGATTGATTTTATTTGGTTAATCAGATAATTTATAACTAAAGGATCTTGTGGGTCTAAACTGTTTGACATTTATACTTTTTTCGAATCGATTATTGCTTCATAGGTTTCAAATGTTATTACTTACGAAACACAGAAATCCAAAGTTAATAAAAAAATCTGAAAAAGGTGTTTCAATTATAAATGAGTTTTCATTTTCCCTACCATTTACTTGTTTATTGACTTGAGGTATCTCAATATAAAGTGATAAGTAATATAAATGATTCAAATACAATCATACCGAAGTCAATCATCGAGCATCAGAAATTCTACTGTTATTCGTGCTTTGAAATTATTGAAACCGGTTTGTTGAAGTAAACACGTAAAGTTTGTTCTCCCTTATGAAAATCTTTTAAAAACCACGGAAAATGGAAACAATCATTATGATATTTTAAACTTACTTTCTTAGTTGAATTATTTTCTGTTAACAAGTAATCCACAGAACATGGTTCCGCCTTTATTTTACCAGTATAAGTTATATAAATATTATAAAGTGCTGTCGTAGAAGGCAGGATACTCAGTTGAAGATTAAAGAATTGTAACTTTTCAGCTTGATTCACCACTGAGGTATCCTTTAATGTCAAGACATTATTCGCAACCTATTCGTTAAAAAGAAGGTTGGCATGGTTTGTACTGACAACTTACCAAATTAGGACCTGCAAATGCTATGAGTTGGCTCTCACAAAAATTCACTGTAGAATTCTTACCTAATGGTGAGATTTTCGCTTCAAACTTAACGGATACCAAACTTGGTCTATATATCTGAATAAAAACTGTTAGACGAACTGATCGATTCATCATTGGCAAAGTAGTGTCATAAACACCTAAAATATATTTTAAATTAAATATGAATATGTACATATGAATATAAAATAAGAATTACTCGTCCCAATAACTCAGAAAAGAAATATTCAAAGAAATATGAAAACAAGACCATTTTGTGAAAGGATGCCTGTCGACGAGACTTATCAGAGTGAATCTCCAAAGTTCGGCAATGAAATCTAATGAAAAATAATAGTTTTTTTTTAACACGACAGTGATAACTTTATGAAAACTTCAGCTTGATGGAAGCTAAAAGATAGCCAATTAAGCGTAATTATATGCCTTATAGTTGTAAGAGCTCTAGTGGTGAGTAATGGTAGTGACCTTGGGTGAATTAAAATTATAATCTTCCAGTCTGACTGAATTTAACCACATCAAATGTGAATCAATTTCTTTATAAATGACCTTAAAAAAATGAACCGAATTTCCAGCTAGTTCTAAACTATTCAGAAAGCAGCTTTTAAAAATGAGTAGTTTCTGAAATCATAACCTTGAACGACGTATACTACTGCAATTCACGGAAACATCAACAAAGCATACTATGAATATATTAATTAATTTTTATTCAGGAAATAAGTTGGACAAGAGGTATTTGATTCCAGTAAACAGTTTAATGATAAGTAAAATGTACAAAGTTTAAAAAATAACAACGAAATAAAAAGTATCTTCGTGGTCTAAACAAGTTAGTAACTATTTGATAGTGGTTAAATTCGACTATTGATCACAACACGGTCAAACCATACTATTTTTTTCCATCAAATTTCACTATGACAATAGGAGACGGCTGTAAACTAGCGAAATCAGTTATCAGGATTCTCGCAGTGTGAAGTACTATCGTGTGTTTTTGAGCAGAATGATGACAACACATCTTAGAAATTCCCCTAATAGAATATTAGAAGTTTTAAAACAAATCTATTACAAAATAAAGTAGTGTTACAAGTAGCAGGATTATTCAGAATTTAAATGCAATCACACAAGAGCAAATATATCTGATAATAAAATACATAACAAACTTCTAGCAGGTATCATTTGGTCAGTAGCAATCGCTCTTCATTTGTAAACTGATATATGATGTAGGTATGAAGCTCAATTATCAGGTCTCAATTTCATTGAGAGGCCTGTGAAATCCGTATCATACAGGAGCTTACATTTGAAGTGACTTCTACACATGCTCATTTTTGTGGTCCATATTTTTATATGTAGACATTTAATTTTTCCTAAAACAAATCCTATTCTGATGAATAAAATAACCCATTGTGTCATTAAATAAGAAAAAGAGAATTCAGTGAAGAAAATTTTTTTCGACGAAATCATTTATTTAAACTGCACTTCCGTATATATAGTTATATGGAAAATGTATGTCTATAGGAGGATGGAAAAAATTGCATCACCAAAATAGATTCGAGGATAAATAACAAATGAGGTTACGTACTAATCAAGGGGTAAGGAAGAAAATGATTTATGGGTCAGATAATAGTCTAATTGGCAAATACGAAGAAAAACGACAAACATAAAGATCATAATGATAAACTGAATAATAAACAAGAAAACTTGTATAAAGTAATGATAACTGATTAGAGTTTAAAATGCAAAATAGTAATTTTAAAAATTTGATCATAAATTAAAGTGCAGAAAAAAAAACAGAAGAAAAAAACAGAAACATGCCCATTAAGGGAATTAGGGCCAAGGATGGATGAGAAGTTGAACAAATCGCTTTTACACGCAAAGTTCGTGCTTGGGTTCGTGAATTGCCAATGCCTCAGTAGTGCATAGAATATTGATTCAACACCCCTTCGATCCAATTCCTTTGACACTGTAGATCACTTTAAAAGAAGAATACTTGGGAGCGGTGTGTCTAAAATTGATTAAATGCTCCTGTATAGAACTAGTGATTGTCTTACGTTCTCCTTTTACAAGCTAAGCTGGATAGTGTTCTGAGATGCGTTTGGAAAGTGATCTCTTTGTTCGGCCTATATAACGAGCCCCACATGAGCACGTAAATTTATAAATACACATTTATGTGGCCCAAAGCGAAAGTTTATCTTTAACACATCCAGGAATGGTAGACCGGCTTGAGAAAACAATTCGGGGCTTGGCTGTGTAGAAAGTTTTATTCAATGATTTTGAAATCCATTTATTTAAGATTTCAGCAGCCGTGTCTCCTTTAAATTCCATATTCATGAACAGGGTTTTCTTTTGTACTGTCGATACTTTCTCATGATGAATTCTAGGTGTTAGGTTACTATCGACGAATCCAGGTGGATAACCGTTGCGGATGAAAGTTTCTCGAAGTTGAATTAGTTCCTCATCTATTGTGTCAGTGGAACAGATTCGCTTGATCCTAGAGGATAAAGAGTGGATTAAGTTCCTATTCCTACTCAATGGGACCCAACAATGGAAATTTTTGTACTGCCCATTCCAAGTAGGTTTTTTATATATAGATCGCTGTATAAAACCATCGGGCGTTCTTTTTAATCGGACATCAAGAAAGTGAAATTCATTATTTGCCTCTGCTTCTAAGGTAAATTGAATTGAGGGGTGACAATTATTGAAACTTTTCAAAGTTTCATTTAGGTCCATGTCTTCATCACAAATAATGAAAGTATCATCCACATATCTCTTATATAAATGAAATCTCTCAATTATTGAACGAAGTACAGAATTTTCCAGATTGGCCATGAAGCCATCAGCCAAGAGAGGGCCCAATGGAGAACCCATTGTAACTCCATCTGTTTGTCTATAGAAATCATCATTAAATCTGAACTGCACGTTGAGCGTATATCATAGAAGTAATTCTTTTAGATAATGTTTAGGAAAACATATATCAAGGTTGTTGTTTTCAATATAGTCACATAAAAAACATATGGTTTCTGTGAGCGGAACATTTGTAAAAAGTGAAGTGACATCTAATGAGATCATTTTCTTACCAATTACGTCGACATTTTTAATTGATTCGACAAAGTCAAAGGAATCGAGAGAGTTATATTTATTGATATGACTTTTAACAGGTTTGTGGTGTTTGAATGAACTAATGATTCCTTTGTACTTGTTGAATGCTTGATTTCGAATTCTAAATACAGTACATTCGTTTGTGGTTATCTAGTACTTCTTGATCTGATTACGTTATTTCTGGGATTCTTAGTTCATACTATAATTCAAATACTTCTAATTATCATAAGGTTGTAAAATGTCAACTAACCATTCAGCATTCAAGTGATATGGAGAGTTGTTCATATCAAGTATAGGACCTTTGTGTTTGCCGCTTTTCTTCGTATTTGCCAATTGGACTATTATCTGACCCATAAATCATTTTCTTCCTTACCCCTTGATTAGTATGTAACCTCATTTGTTATTTATCCTCGAATCTATTTTGGTGATGCAATTTTTTCCATCCTCCTATAGACATACATTTTCCATATAACTATATATACGGAAGTGCAGTTTATATAAATGATTTCGTCGAAAAAAATTTTCTTCACTGAACTCTCTTTTTCTTATTCAAATCCTATTCTTCTTCCCATTAGTATTGTCTCCACTTAGAGATCTGTGTCAATAATCTGATCTCGCATTCAGCAAACACAGGGACTAAAGTAACAATACGTTTATCCACTGGTTTATTTACAATTATAAACCGTGTATTGTTCACGAGATGATTACCAGTAAAATATATCTTAAAATCAATGATTTTTCGGAATAAGACTTCTGGAAACAAATATTTTTATCCATCTTGAATAACAATGTATTCAGCCCCTACCATCATCTTCATTCCTCTTAATCACTCCATCTTTATGCATATTCGATTAATCACAACAGCTCTTGTCATTTCAGTTCAGTAATAAATACCTTTGGTCATACCATTACACTACAAGTGTCATATTTAATAGCTTTTCGAAGTAAAACTGCCAAACACTTTTCAATTTATGACTGAGCAAGACAGAATAAACACTGAGCTTATTCAAATTCATCATCAACAGTTGAAAATGTTTTATTCACAGATTTGTCTATGCACAAACTTTGTCACCAACTATATGTGGTTGTTAAGAATTGATTAGTAACAACAGTTTGACGAGGCCATCATACTGACCGGTAAGAAAAGTGATTCATCGAAGGAATATTAACAGAGAAATAATTATCAAAAGGTTCAGGTGAGCCCAAAATGATTATTAATGGAAGATATCTATAATGCATAATACCGAAATGCAGGTAGCAGAATAAGTGCCTAAAATCATATCATCCACTGCCCTAATGACATGCAATATGAAAATCCGGTACTTGTGTAAATAAGTATCAGAAAATGGAAAGGCACTTGTTACTGTTTTGACAAGTGCATACTTAATTTCATAAACATACATACAGAAAAAGGTGTAATCTTTCGAAAATACAACATTCATGAGTACCACGTTTTGAGTATCGTGGTTAGTCGTGAAACATCAGGAACTTAGTGTTATAAGACACAGCTAGACTGAACAAAACTGTTAATATATGATACAATTAACAATATACATGGTTTATACTGAAACAGAGTGTTTAACGTTAGAAATCATTGTACGATGAACTTACCTGGATTTTGTAGATTTGAAACACTAACGTAGCCAATGGTAGTCAGTGCAAAGTTACCACCAACGAATTGTTGCGTATCTATTTTGTAACCTTCTGGGTATGTAGAGAATGTTGTAGGTAGTGTCAAAGATATATGTCCAATCGAAGCACTAAACTCATCAGTCGTGAATGTGAACTATCAAACAATTTATTAGGAAACAACAGTAAGTATTTTTCTGTAAGTGTCTTTAAGGAAATAAATACGTTCAGTTTTGTATTGGGTGAACATACAAAAGTAAAGTGTTTATATACAGATATATCTACTCAATGTCCTACAACACTATGATGCATATTTAAATGTACTCGATTAATTTTGTCTGAAGATGGATGATCTCAGATGTTGTAGAAGTTCTCTCGTTATCATATTGAATAATTACCTGTTTCGTATTGTATTGGTTTGTTAAAAATTTGCCACACTTTATTTGTTCAAACAATTAATAGTCTGTGAAACACTGATCTGGTATATTTAACAGAATTCGTATTATGAAATTGGATAATATTCATCAGGTCAAATACTTAGGAAAATTATAGTTGATATGGCCATTGATATTAAAGAGAAATAGTGATAGCATTTCAGCTAAAACAACACACTGTCAATACTAAAAATTGTCCCTATACAAATGAGAATATAATCACCAGGATAATAAGTCTAGCAACTTCATTTCGTTCTATTTGGTCGATTATTCAACGTACTTCAAGTTTTTAAATGTTATATAATCTATGATTTTGATTTGTGGCTGTACGATGTGAGATGATAAACCTTAATAGAGTTTTATTTTATTCACCTGTCCTTCTTTAAAACGGATCTTGTTTTTTCAAAAGAGTGGTTGATTATTCTTATATTTCTTCTAATGATTTAAAGGTTTACAAATGTATTCCAATATCATATCAGAATTTATCGGAAATTAGTGGAAAACACTGAACGACATTCAGTGTATTTGTTGAGTGTGGTAAAGATAGAGGTGATGATTATAACATACTTGAATGTTGTTGATCTTGACAAATGATCTTGATTTAATTTATATGGTGTTTAATCCACGTAATTCATCTCACTTATTTACAGTGTCAGCTGATTCATTATATTCTTAAGAAGAGTAACTGAATAAAATCAGATTTTCACAGACATCTGACTATCAGGTTTTTACTATTTTGCAGCATCTGTACTCCTCTAGCTGATATTCTCTGGAGTAATTGTCATCAAAACCTGACACCTTTTCTATTTAGTTTGTAACTTTGATGTGTTCATCAGGACCCGGTATGTTTTAATAGCCGCGTCTAGTTCTACTGAATTTACCATCACCATTAGATTACAGATTTTTGTACGAAAACTAACCAATAATAATTATTATTCGAAAGAGCGAACTAAATATATGTATAATCTGTACTGAAGATTGAATCATAAGTGTTATTGGTCACCAAAGGAAATCTATCGTATTAGCGAAATCTGAGAGGAGGAAACAAACAGTCTTGATTGCTGATTTTCGTGAACAGTTTTTTACTGTCAGCTAAAACCTGGATTATTCTGATAACGAATTAGTGGTAAATTTAGGTAGGATACTGACTGTCAACAATGGCCAGTTTTGTAAGAGAGAGGTTTTGATATAGTTAAGTGGATAAAAGCAAGTCTGGGTGATCGTTAAATAAGTTTATTTCATCCCTTGTCTCCAAGCGATGAACATCCTTTTGATCCTCAAAAGACAATAATATTGAAGGTGCAACAGGTATTCGGAGTTTGACAACACTTTAACCAATAACACCTAATATGGATCCTACTCACCAAGTGAAATCAAAAGACCGAAGCGAGAAGGTTCTGTTATATTTCTCTTTCTTACGGTATGACCCAGTTATTCCTATTGCTTAGTATTCTTGGACACTAAATCACTCGACAAGTCCCCAAATCAGAACACGGTTGAACAGGAGAGAAATTATATTCCAAATAACAAGGTTAGATGTAAGCAAGAAGCAAGTAAGTGCAATAGGGAAAACGTTAGTATATTTATAGTTTTTCATATAAGATTTCTAGTGTTCACTAAGCGTGCACCAAAGCAATCGCGCATTGAGCATGCTTTAATCCAGTCTATGTTCCGCTAACAGGTTCGAAGATATATTTGATGGGCTACCAATATATCGAGGATCGTCTGTTCTAATCTGGCTAGCGGTTGCAGGGTTTGTTGAGCACGGTGTTTCCACTCATGATCTGGTGCGAATACATGACCGAGCGCCTTCAGCTAGGTGAATCCATTAAAACTAATGTGGTCAGGATGCAATGTCGAAGACTTACAGAGCTATTTATTTTGAGGATTTATTTAGCGCTACAATATGCATTAATCTAGCTGTTGAAATGTCTAACGACATAAAGCTTCATATATTTTCCATTGGTGATGTACAAATTAATTTTTCGTTATGAGGCACGTCACATTATGCAACAATTAGGTCGGAAGTCTTATTATTTAACAATTTTTTTCATAAGAATGTAAATTGATCAAGTATAATACTTATCACTCACCACGTAATCGCCAATGGGTCTGCTTATAAAGTAGTCCACAGAATACTCATAAACCCCACCTACTTCCACTTGCGGTGGGCACTTGGTAAAGTTAACTGAATCATATTGAATCGGACAGTTCGAGGAAACACTCATGGGAATATCTACGATAATCTTTGGAGTCAACAATGCCTCCATTCTGACTGTTAAATTGGTACCTATTGGTGGAATCGACATTTGAGGAAAAAGACCAACTTGGAATCGCATCCTAGTACTGAAGTCATTTGAATCATTGGCAGGAGCGGATGAAACACTTATCTGACTTGTCATTGTGAACTCCGAAGACTACGGAAAACAATTAACAAAAGTGGATTAAGGGCTAGAATTCTCAGGAAATTCTCCATTTTCATATCTATAATTTGGCACCGAAGATATGAGTTAATATCAACTTACGAAGATATACTACTGCAATTTCAAACCAATTTAGACCCATTCACAGAACCGATTTTAAGCGATGTTGAGTCATTTGATGTGACATGTTTTATCATATATTTCCTCAAGTTTGTAGATTGACTACAATTATTTGGTATATCAACTCATCTATAAACAAAATCTAATTTATAGAATAAAACAAAGCAAATATAGAAAATCAGAAATTCTATCTATTACTGCTCCTTAAAATATGAAGCTCACAAAGACGTTTCAACATCTTATCTGATCCTTTCTGTTTTAGTTCTTGTATTTCCACCTCCTTCGTCTGACTAGAACTTTTACTCAGTGATGACTATAGTCTTATATTACAGTGTTTTCTTTCTCCTAATCTTGTAGATTATTCTGTTCTATTTACACTCACTTTTCAAATTCATACTCATAATGGGTTTTTGTATTCAGGTTTTCGATAGGTTGATAAGATATGGAGATTATTGGATGAGACGTAAATCAGGAAGGTTTTTTAAGCGAAACTGAATTAAATTTTATACAAATTAAATATCCATTGTTATGAATCTTCATAATCTCACTGTGAGTATTTAAAAGTTGGTTTTAACTATTTAAAAACTTTTATTCTTTCGAGTACATAATCAGCATCATCTGGTATTTTGAATACTTTTATATGAAACAGAACTTTGATATTTACTCTCAATCTTCAGTGAAATGTGGAATATGTCCTTGCACATATTGGTGTACTTTCCATAGTAACTTTTACCAAGTACAATATTTTTAATTACAATGTAAGATATATTGAAGGCCAGGAGAAAGAGATTAGACGATATATCAGCTTCATGAGAGACTGTTAACTAAGGGTTATACCTATACACAAAGTGAATTCAGAAAGTCTGATTGTGTTTACATAATGTAGTTCGAATTATCTAGGGATTTCTCATTTTTATACACATTTAATGCTTGTTAGACGAAGTGTATTTTACTACTAGTAAACATGAATCAAACTGGTCTGTTTACTATATTTCCATGAGAAACGTTTATGTACATAACCATGTGCTATTGAAACCTACTACATATGCTTCATTATTTTCTGAAGTGCAGTATCAATGGATATCCACAACCTAGAAACTTCCAGCAATTTTTTAACACATCACAACGAACAACCTCTAGTGACAGGAATCAAGAGGTGTCATATGTATATTTACCTGTACATTCCTTGTTACGTATACATTTACAATCTCTCACAGAAAACGCTGTCAACAGTAAAATTAATCAAACTACATTCATATCCTTACCGAAGAATTATTGTTCAAGTATGTGAGATTACTAAACTTCACAGGATAATTATTTGCTATATTTGTACCGTTGTAGTAAGCAAACAAATATTGTATATATCCGTAATAGACATTATTTAGAGACGGACCAGAAAATTTCATGATCAAACTATGATTTCCAGGTGGAAGGACAATTACCGAATCAATAAACCATGTATCGAATAGACAATAATTTGGATTGTCCTGGATGTATACTCTGGAAAATGTGACATTGATAGTATTCGGTGGAACTATGACGCCCTATAAAGAAGAAAAATTGACATTACTCATCTGAAAACCTCAAATCATAATTATTTTGGCTAGTACACATCATGGTTCTAAATCTTACTGTGCACATTTGCTGAATCGGATCACAACGTCCTGATGATAACACTATTTTATTTCATTAACATCGGAATCATTAAATCGAATTCATTAATGAATGAAGGTTGTTATCTGAAACACCGCATTGTTTTGTAGGATAAGTGACTGTGAAATGCACACGAATTCAAAGACAATTATGCCTACATATAATTCTTATTACTACCATTATTTTAAATAGTTTTCATACTTGTAAGTTAACATTTTTGACAAAAATGATTATTCGTAGCATTTTATGACAGTTTGACGTTTATTTGATTTGGAGGTTGTCTCCAGTGGTAACATACCACTAATCGTGTCAGTATTCCGTTGTTGTTGTTTAAATATCAAGGCTCAGAACTATGACATAAGATTTGAAGAACCATTGATCATATTGCTATGCTTGGTTCAAAGAAACAGGCTACTACAGTGTCAACTGAAACAAATCATGAATCTCTTTCAGTGGCAGCTTACCAAATGTGAAATCAATGACAAAAACTGCAGTTTCATTTTAAAAAATACAATGAACAAAAATCATACCCTCTTGACTGCAGTGATTTCACTTCCTCTTTCTTCGTCAGAATACACTTCATCAATTAAAATGTTGACCGTTGCATCATCAGATATATTTAGTGAAGTATTTGCATTCCTTACTGTCACTTGAAAAGTGATGGTGTGATTATTCTTCATTGTTTCATAATCACTTTCAATTACTTTCAAAATACCAGTTGTTCCATCGATAGCTACTGGTAAGTAGTTTGAATCAGGTACAATGTTAAATTGAACACTTCCACACGATGCTAAGGAGGAGTTTTCATCACTCAGAGAAAGACTACCAATCAGACTTCCATTGATCCAGTTAGAAAACTTGGTTTCGAAGGTGAATACTGTCTGAGTGAATTTTGGAATTCTATGTACTAAAATGGTAAGCATATAATCTCTACAAAGTTAATATTTCACAATACATATGTAAATGAGAAATGAGTTATGAATCATGGAATGGACAATATTTCTTCAACTGTAACCAATGCACAATACAAATGATTGAGCGTTTTTACAAATAGATGAATCAATTCATGAAGAAATTTTGTTTGAGTTAACCAATTGACGATTTTCCAAGATTTCTTATAACAAGATGCGAAGTAAATTTGACTACAAGCTTATCAAGAAATGTGAATTATTATCCATTCAGTGTAATGTTTATTTCTTCTACAAGTAATTTAGTTAATGAAGAACTCAGGTGTGGAAGACAAATTTATTGTTCAATGCAAAATTACAGAGCTTTTCCATAAAATGTGAAAAACATACATTATACGCTTCATTTCCAAATCCTACATCATTTAGTCTTGCATCATTCATGATTGTTCCATCTCTCGATCCCTTCATGCTTCCCCATTCTGTTTTATTCAGTGCTATCTCCACAAGCTTCTTTCGACAGACATTTGCACTTCTGATTGGCTTACATACTACTTATGTAGACAGTGATCAGTAGAATACACCACAGTAAATCTTATGAGTTTGAGATAAGAGTCTTTAGCATCATCTTGATAAGGAAATGATAGAATGTAACCAAATATTTATAAAACCGAACAGAAAATTGTCTCGTTATTAGTAATATTGACTAGTTAAACCATAAATGACTGACTTACCTCGTTCTTCACAGGTTTTCCCGATCCAACATGTATTACATACACACGTTCCATTAATGCAGTGACCATTAACACAGTTCCTAGTCAAAAAGATTGTGTATTGCGATCTTATACACACCAGTAATTTAGAATTTGTACATAAGTGAATTTTGTTATGTCTGTTTCAATAACTTTAGTTTTAGTGCATGAAACCGACTTGCGAAGAAAAACATTATTATGTTAATAAAAATCAGTGATTTGAGTCTGGAGATGAGATACCAAGGTGTATACTTAGTGCAACAAACTTTTATCGTCACATTAGCTAAATATATCGGAATTTGTACTATTTGGATATCTGTTCGACTTTGCTTATGACCTGGTCATCCTAAAATCGTAATTTAATGAATATCTCTGCACAGTTTAGTACTTCTACAAGTTTATCCATCTTGCAAAGTTGGTAAATCGAAACTAAGAGTAAAGAGCTTTGAATATGATTTCAATATGAAATCAATGACTGTATTTACTACACAATCAACAACAGATCATTAAGGCTTAGGATTTGTTCATTCAGTTCAACAATAAACAAAACTGAAAATAATGCAAATAATTAGCCTGAAATTCTTGAAAAATGTGCTCAGCTTACTTTCAACTACCATTCTTATACGCAATTGATGTGATATTCCAAACAAACAGAAGCGTCAGCAAACATGCTTATATCAAGATAACGCATTAGCATTAATGGTTGACTAAAGATCAACTAAGTTTCACCTTTATTTTAGACAGTCTGAATATTTTAAATTGCTTTTTGTATATTACTGAACAGTTTTCGCACTTACCAAAAATATTGAAAGTATTAAAATCGACAGTCGGTGAAACTATGGATAAACTATTTCGAGAAACTTTATCTTCAGCACTGTCTTTCATTGAACGTTATGTAGAAAGTTATATCATTCAACTGAAATGTCTCCAGGCCAATACTCTTAATTAGTTTAGAACCGTCATTTAAACTAATTAAGTCGAGATGTGTTTAGTAGTTATGATTACTTTCATCTTTTCTATGGGCTTTCTATGTGTTAGCTTCTAGAGGTGATCCTTTCTTCATTTGATTTGCTATCAATTAGTTGTCTGTCTTTAGGCTCAGTTACTGATTTAAATAGACTGAGAATGTTTATGGTTAGTTTGCACAGTAATCATTTGCAATTTAGTTCACTTATATCGAATGGTAGAACAAACGTGTTTGGGATGTAGTATTGATAAAGAAAATTGAAGATATTGCTCTACTACTTGTTTGTAGCATAGTTTAATTTGACTGTGATTATAGTTGACCGCTTCCTCTATCATTTGAGTCATATTAGTTCAATTGGCTTAGTGATTGTGAATTCTAGACATAAATAGTTAATAAACGATGTCTATAATGTATACCGCAAGTGAAATAAATGTCTTGTCACTGCTCAGTAGAAATAATTATACCACATTTTGTGTTACTTATGCATCTATATCACACAGAAATTTGTTAGGTGGTTGAAGATAGTCGGTAGGAAACGCTGGTTGTGTTGTTATTCGGGGCTTGCTAGCAGCTAAGTAAACCATAGATTTAGGTCACCACTAAGAACTAAACATACATGGTATTAACGATCATCCGGTAACCAATAACTCTTGTTTGTTAATAAGCCTCTAATCAACAAAGGACACTTAGAGAGAATCATATAAATATTTATTACCATCACGACTATGATCATAAACCATTAATATTCTTTCAACAGACTTACGATGAATTATTTTCACACAATTTTGTGGATTGTTCAAATGATCCATGAACTACTGAATGCAATATATTAGTTTAAACCTAAACAATCACTCATCAACTTACAAACAGTATGAATCAGTATAATGATCAAATCTGTTGGAATTCTTTGATAGACGATCATTATGTATGAATGTGAAAATGTAAGTAAAACGAAGGTGATGATGATGATGATGATGATGATGAAACTTTTGGGTTCAACTTTCTTTAAAATATTTTCGGATGATTTAACTAATTTCAGTCAGTAGCTAAATTAATTTCAAGTAAAGCTGAATTCATTTAAATAGTTGCAAACTATGTAGTCGTTTCAGCCAATCAGAATGCAGTCACTGGATTTTGGGTAGTTACACCTATTTATTCTAATCCCTAATAACAAACGAAACCTGATGACAATCCACATATTTGTCATATGAATGAATTTTTGAACAACAAAAAACTTGAACACTCCAATAGCAACAATTATTCCTACATACTCTTATACTGACCAAAAATAAAATGATGATAACAAGTCTTTAGTATTTTGGGCGATAGTGAGTTGAAAGTATGAAGTGAATTTGAGATGAAACTGTAATACACTGTAGTGCTTGCAAAGTTGTCCTTAAGGTAAGTGAAAAAAACTAACACTTTGGTAACCAGGTGACTGAAAAAAACAATGTTATACGTTGACTTGATAAGTGAACAATACAAAATGGTGTTCTATAAGAGGTCGTTGATATCTTGTTTTATTTAATACATCAATTGCCCTTTACTGAAACAATTCATATCTGTCATATTGTAATAAAGCATTGTTATAATTTAGCCTGCAGATAATTTAAGGACAACAAATTGAATGAATATAACCCACCGGTATTTAAGCTTTTCTATTCTCTATCTGGAATGCTTCAGTGAATAAATGTTCTTTCACTATTATTTTCATTACGTTTATTACGTTACGGAGACATAGTAGTTAAAGTGAATTAACTCTCCGTGTCACACCTTGCAATTGTTTGTAATAAATAACTACAATAAGGAACAAGAATTGAAGTGATCTACCACCATGTTAAACTCACCCTTTATAATAGTGTGGTTAAAACTGTTGTTTGCTTTTAATAATTCAACTGAAAATGTATTTATATGTTGAATTAATTACAGTCAATTAGTTCGCACTGTTTTATTCCGAGTTTGAATTTCTCAGATGCACCAATGTAGTTCAACAAAGAGAAATGTATTCCAGTTAAAGGTGTTGATTCGACATGTCTCATTGAAAATATCAGGTAATGAGATAACAGTTTGCATTCTTACTTAGTATGAGTTACTGAATATATCATGTTTTTATTTTTGTATCAGTCCGAAAATTTCGTTTCATCATTCATTCTTTCCTCTTCACATTAAAATTAGTCTCATATCTAAATAGAAATATGTAGAATGTTCCTTTTTATCCCAGTTCTTGATTACTGTTGTTTAAAAATTAAATATCAGATAATCTTTTTACTAAAGTTACTGTATCACCAATTTCAAAATCAACACACATTCCTAATACCATAGGACCATAGACGATCATAATTCTGTGAAATAGGGGTAGAAAACTTAAAAATGATTAAAAAGATGAAGATATGGTCTTGTAAAGTTAAATCTCATTTCTTGATTTAGCAGTTCATAAGACCACATTATCTCGGAATTTTCTGTTGTACATCTTAATTTCAGTCTAGATATTTTGTTTGGTTCTGTTTATCATTTTATATACACGTAGTCAGGACTACTTAATACATAGGCTTAAATTGATGATTTAAAGGAAACACGTAGCAAGTAATATTAATTAGAGGAAATGTTCTTACATATTTATTTAAAATTGAAGTTAATCAAGTATCACATATGCTTCAAACAGCGAAAGCAGTAGCCCTCAGATTATAAAACCGGAGTTATGTGTACAAAAGAAATATGTTCAACTACTTCTCCTATCTTGTCCAAACTCAGGGTTAATCATACGGTTGAGTAATTGAGGATGCCACAAGTATTCGGAGTTCGACAACACTTTAACCGATAACACCTTCTATTGTGAATCGTACTCACCAAGTGAAATCAAAAGACAGAAATGAGGAGGTTCGAAGATATATTTGATGGGCTATCAATATACCGAGAATCGACTGATCTAATCTGGCTAGCGATTACAGGGGATGTTGAGCACGGCGTTCCCACTCGTGATTTGGTGCGGATGCATGACCGAGCGCCTTCAGATTGATGAGTCCATTAAAACTAATGTGATCAGCATGCAAAGTCGAAGACTTACAGGGCTATTTATTTTGGGGATTTACTTAGCGCTACAGATCACTTCCCCTCCTAGTGGGGTAGTGATGACCCTAAGACGTGGCTAGCCAGAAGTTTAAACCCAATGAATTTGTCATTGGTAAACACACTTCTGATAGTTTGCTAGGTTTAGCAGCGTCTGGTCGTCTTTCCTTACTATAAGAAACCATGTAGTACAACATAGTAATGAAAAATGTACAATGCAATTTTCGGTTCATCGTAAACTTCGTCGTTCTTTTTCGTCTTTTCCAGCTGTCCTGGAAAAGAAAAAAAGAATATGTAAGTGCATGACGAAATACACTCCTACATGCATAAAAACGCGAAGCGGGAGAAAAAGAGGAAAAGAAACTTATGCATAAGTAATGGCGTATAAAAGGGTTTTTACAAAATGGTGTTTTTGTTTTTGTCTTTTTTGGAATAAAAATACAAATATATAAGCATATCAAGATTGGTTTTTTTATTATGTATAGTACGATGAAAAATCGAGACGATCTAAAATGTCAACTAGTATCTTACGTGCAATAATCATTCAAATGTCCTATAAATCTTACTCTTCTTCCAGAACGCGTCATTTCAAGTTTATTTTCAGATACTGACGAAGTACGAAGTAACGGATGAGGTATCATGAATGTAGGAGTCGTGTCGTTCGATTGTACCGAAGGAAAATCGATGTGAATAGGATTTCCTTCTGAATACGCCGCTTTGAGGAGATCGATAATGATGCTATTGTTGGTTCCGTTCTTATCGAATATGTAGTACTTGGGTCCTCGTTGAACAACTTTGAAGGGTCCTTCGTATGCTGATTCGAGAGGTCGTCGATGTGAGTCTCGAGGAACGAAGACGTGTGTACTATATCAAAATGCAGGTTGAAAGAAAACATCAGTTGATTGCGGTCCAGTAGAAACAGGTTTAACTGAATGCATTGCGTTTGTAAGCCTGTTCGTGTAGGAGTTTAAATCCATGTCCATTGAAGAGGATGAAGGACCCACGAATTCTCCTGGAAGTCGAAGTGTCGTTCCATAAACGAGTTGAGCCGCAGTGTATCCAATGTCAGCTTTCACTGCATTGCGAATACCCAGAAAGACGAGTGGAAGAGCGTCGGTCCACCGTGAAACGTTTGCAGCTGATAGTGAAGCTTTTAGTTGTCGGTGAAAACGTTCTACCAACCCGTTTGCTTGTGGGTGGTAGGCGGTCGTTCAGAAGCGAGTGATTCCTAATGATGTGATCAGACAACGGAAAGTTCCAGATTGGAACTGGCGTCCACGATCTGTAGTGATGGTTGAAGGGCAGCCGAAGTTTGCTAACCATCGTTCGACGAAGGCGCGGGCCACTGTTTCATCGGTGATATCCTTGATAGAGATTGCTTCTGGCCATCGAGTGAAACGGTCAACGCAGGTTGAGAGGTAAGAGTATCCATTTGGATCCGGTACAGGTCCAGACAAATCCAGATGAACATGGTCGGAACGAGCATCAGGAGTTTTGAAGGAGCCTAAGGGACATTTGTTGTGCCTAATCATCTTAGATTTCTAACAGCTTACGCATGAGCGTGCCCACTCCCTCACGTCCCTATTCATACCAGGCCAGCAAAGCCGTTCTGCTATGAGCTCCTCCGATTGCTGAGTCAGATGTATCTACTGCGTTACTAATGGGTGCTTGAGTGTCCTGATGTGCAAGCATTGTTTCTTTAGCGATGAGTTCCTTAAGCTTGCAGAATGCTTTGCGCACAGTGTCGTCCAGCTTGATGGAAAACGTCGTCTATAAACCATTGGGAAGTCTGTGCAGCATTTCTTAGACGAAAGGCATTCGTAAAAATTCGTAGAGTCCGAAGGGAGTTATGACAGTGGTTTTCGGAATATCGTCAGTAGCCATAAGGATTTGACTACGCGCTTTAACCAAGTCGATTTTCGAAAAGACAGTTTTACCTTTCAAGGTAGCTGTCAAATCGTGAATGTGAGGTAACGGATAACGATCGGGAATGGTTTTCGCATTCGATCGCCGATAGTCACCAGTTAGACGCCAATCTCTGCTGTTTTTTTAGGGACCATATGCAACGGAGATGCCCATGGGCTGTTTGACGGTCTTATGATACCTAAGTCGGCGTGCTTTCCAGAATACAGGTGGTTCAGTAGTCGTGGTGTGATTTATGACATTGATGGTTACACATCGCAATTTCGGTTGCGGTTGGTATATCCCAGAATACTTAGCGAGTAATGGTTGATAGAATGGATCTATGGTGTGCCTAAGTGTGACAGAAGATAATCTGCAACCGGAAAAGTGGTTACGCAAACAGATAAACTAGTTTTTCCGTCTACTAGCCTCCGTTTGCATGTATCGATGAGTAGATTGTGGTGTTGTAGGAGGTGTATGCCGATGATTGGCATAGAAACCTCTACAACAACGAAGATCCAGTGTATGGGTTTGTGTGAACCCACGTTAAGGTAAACGTACCTTTTGCCATACGAAGCGACAGGCTTTCCGTTTAACACTTGTAAGTTTAAAACCGATTCGTGAAACCAGTCGCCAGAATTTGCTAGAGGATCGCTAACTTCTGCTCCAGTATCGACGAGGTATCAGACATTCGGTATCACATCTGTGACGTATAACAAACGGCTATGTTTGTCGGCTACGGTTGCCGTTAACGCGTGCGGGCTAGGAAGTTTCCCGTGTTGTTATTCGTGTCGGTCAATTTTGAGTTGGAAAAATTGCAGGGTTTTTTGCAATTTCTGGAACACTTTCCATACTGGTTATGATACCAGCACCAGTCGCGGTTATCAGTCTCTCATGGTCTAGAGAAGTGTTTCTTCACGAGGTGTGTGACCGTTTACGGTCGTTACGAAACTT